AATAATTAGTTACCTGACTTTATGGACCTATGAATTAAAACTATCAGAGTAATATAAATTTTAAATTTCTAGATAATAAACTTTTTTATCTTCTTGAAATTGTTTTGAAAAGTGCATAGTGATTGTTAAATGAACTTGACCTAATATTAACTTTACCAAGAATTCCATTTGTTTCAAAAATTCTGTCAAGTTGAAATGTTTTTTCTAAAAGTTAGAAATACGAAAATTCTAACGGCTAAAAAAAAATGGAGAAAGCTTGGATGGATGGATCTCTTATTTAACTTAAAAGACTAAACTCGACACTTTAAATCAAATTAAGAACCCTTCAAAACCGCCCTCCAAGCTTCGTTAAAAAGCATGGATTAACTAGAAATAGAAAGATGTATGAGCGCACAACGACGCAGCAAGTAAGATGGCGGAGAACTCTCGCGGTTGCTTCACCTTGAAAGGAGTGGGCCAATGGGAGTGTCTTCTCCACTTACTCCTAGCTCCATGGTTTGACCCATAGGAATTAGATTTTTGAAAGAAAAAAAAAGTTCTGTTTTTCGCCACCAGAGACCAAAAATTGCGTTGTAATGTCATTTAGAGATTAAAATCAAGTAATGCATTAACGTTTTTAAACTAAAATTGAATTTTTTTTAAACCGGGATAGTTGAGACTAAAGTTTCGGAATTTAACAAAGATCGAAGTTTCGTGCCTCGAAGACAGTGAAGAATTTCAATGTTTTCAGCTTCCTGAAACTAGAAATTTAAATAATGGTAGAAAATGCAATTTTTACTTAAAAATATGTAGGTTAAACGAAAGTAAACTTATACACGCAATAAGAGCTTTTAAAAAAAGATTTAACTAAATTTAACGCTTTTGTTGTTAGCTATAACACAAAAATTATAAATGTTAAGTTTTAGATTTTTATTGCATATTACCAAACATTTTCATGGTATATTTTCTCATACTTTGGTCCTGAAACAAATCCACTAGACTCAAAATATTTATATACCATAAAAATGTCTAGATGGTTACTTTATTTTCTTACCTTTCGTATGATTTTTCCTTGTAATTAAAATCTCCTAACAATGCGAGTAAATGCAATTATTATCTTGCATAGACAATTTTGTAAAGGCTTACAGAAAAAAAAACTTCTTAAAGTATTTTCAAAGTAATAAAATTGTATAAAATATTGTCTAATGTATTAGACCCTGGGTTTCAGATAAAGTGCAGTGGATAAAGTGCAAGTGCAAAATACAATAGTAAATATATACGCGATTACAATAGCAAAATGAATGTAAAATACTTATTTTCTTTACTTACTTTTACCTATTTAACCTCAAAATTGCTTTACAGTATCATTAGGTAGGTCTCTGATGGGGAGAAAAAAAACAGAATAATTTTGAAATTTTAATTCTAATAGTCTAAACTATTTTTACTACTTAATCTTTTCTACTATTAATTATTGGTTCCATTTAATCCTCGCTATCGTGCTTTAAGCACCTCAACTTTAATTACGACATTTACCACATAGAAACTGATTGAATAAGCTACAAAAATTTGCAGCAAGCCTCTGAACTTGATAAAACAATAAATGTTACCTGACTCCATCTCTTTCGATGACGGATTTTTCCTTTATCTTTTAAATGAGCAATAAGCTTATTTCTTCCAGGCATTATCCATTGTAATCGACCGCCATAAGGTGTTGGAATTTTTTTCGGAGGCTTCAAACGAATATTACATTGATGGACATTACTAAAATTTAAAATTTATTTAAATAAATAGGAAATCAATGATACATTTTTGAAGAAAAAAAATACATATTTGTGATATTTGGAAGAAATATCATTCAAAAAAATACATATTTGGGATATTGGGAAAGGCTTTTCCGTAACAACTATAAAGATTTCACCCAGTCTTAGTCAGATTCGATATAGTTTTAATTTAATTTAAATTATTTTTTTGATAGACATAAATATTCAAGCTGTGCTTAAAACTTTAGATAGTGGTATTAAAACTATTCGATTTTATTTACTCTCGAGTTAAATAACACATTTTTAACTACCAACTCAAATCTATAATAGTTTGGTCTGTATTTCTAGCTCTGTATCTTGATGTCTGTATTTTTAAAATTTAACTGCTTAAAATTTTTAAATTTTACAAGTAAAATAGTCACATTTTTTAAAAATATTTTTTAGCTCAGCTTGCACTGAATAATTGGTAGTATTTGCAGAGGTGTCCGGTGGTGTATTGGTAGCATTTCGCGTTCCTGTGCTACAGGTCCTGGGTTCTTTCCTCTTCCTCAGACCTGGCATGGTTGAATCAGCCTTTCCTCCCTTCAGTGGGACGATAAAATGATTACTAACTAAACCGCCTCCAACAACCCCAGACTCCAAGGTCAAGAAAGCTGAAATGGGGACAGTAGGCCATGGCTCTCCATGAACTGTCTCGCAACTGAGTTTAGTGTTTGTAGGGCCACAAAAGCTGTGGGAAGCGTATAAGAATTTAAAATTCTGATTATTTCATGAAAAGCGTTTAGATAGTAAATTAAACGAGTAAAAGTGCGGCCCAGATTAGAACCGTTAAAAGATATATCAATAATGTTTTAACCCAAGACGCCAAGTGTCCCTTTCAAATGCCAATGAGTTTTTATATCAGGGTTTTGCAATGACCCCTCAATAAGGCAATGTTTTTTTAATCCTAGTCAAATATAAAGTAAAAAAAGCATGAATAATAGAGGTCGCAAATAAATAATTAAACGAGGAGAAAATAAAAACGATAACGAAATCTTTTTGATTGCCTAGGGAGACAGGAGTTGAAAGATGATAATTAGAAATAAGTTTGATGATAAGGCAATCAAACTTTATAAATTTTGCTATCAAGCCATCCTTACTAATGATTTGCATAAAGCTTTTTCTTGTTTAAATAATTTGAGATCCTTAATGCGTATATAGCCTGGGCCAGATTTATCAAACCTTTATCTATAAAATTGAGTTGGGAAATTTTTTTCCCCTGATTAAAATGAAGGCAAGAGAACCTATTTTTAAAAATTATATTCCCGAATTAACAAATTATCTCAACAATTTTAATTTTTTTTTTGATAAAAAAATAATTTTGTTTTAAAAAGGATAATTTTTTTTCTTCAGTTTTACATTATTAGATAAGTTTTCGAAGATAGAAAAGAGAAAAGTTTATTTTTTATCAATGCCTTACCCAGACTCTTATTGAAAACCTGAGGATTTTTGTTTTTAATGAATTGCCCAAGTGTGCTTCTACCACTAGACCTTGGTAGTCATTGTTCCATTTAGAGAAACTTGTTTATGAAAAAAAATATAGCCTGGTTGAACGAAAATTCAAGCTCAAGGTTTTAAATGGTTAATAATTTGTTTAAACATCTTGAAACCAAGTGTTGGAAAAATGGAAAAAAAATGCTTTCAGGCATACAAGTAGGATCTAAAGCATTCACAATCTGATGAATTTTTTGCTGCAGAATTCAAAGAGTAAAATTTTCAATTGCGGAAATGTTTGTACAGTAAATATAGATTTTTTTAAATTTATATTACGAACAATCCCTAATTTAACGAATAAAATTTTTGACCCTGTTTACTTCCTTAAATCATAGACCGGAGAAATAGTTTCAACATTGGCAAGTCCAAGGCATATCAGGTTATTCCTAGCTTGAATTAAATAAGATACGGGGGTCGTAGTTTCAACATAATGAAAGATTTTTTAAACTGGGTTAGATTTTTTAAACTTAGATTTTTTAAATTTGCAATTAGTATTTGAAGAGAAATTCTTTCACATATTAGCTATCAATTTTCTGTTAAAATAGACGATTGATTTGTCCCTAATATCTGTCCTTAAATTTTTAATAGCTTTATTAGTTACATATATAACAATTCTGTTAACAGCATCCATATCACGACTTTGTGACCATTTTCAATTTTAAAGAAAGCACTGTCCTTACATTTTCTGACAACTCTTACAACTCGGTAAAGAGAGAAAGATAGATGTAAAACTATTTTCTATTCTACTTTTTTACAGCAAGTAAATTAATCGTCACTAGCACTTTTTTTTTATACATAATAAACAACCATATTTACTTGTGAAATTCTTCAAAAAAATAAATGCTGAATAGATGCATTAACAATTCTTGGTTGTCACGGATATTTTATTACTACCTGAAACAAACTGGAAATTAATTACTACCAATTCTTTCCTGTGACCGGAATTGTTTCAGCTTTGATAAGTTTTTCTAAAAAGTACGATTGCATTAAAAATTAATAAGTAAATAAAAAAAATATTCAATTCAGCTGTTCAGCACACTGAATTCAGCAAAAATGGATTCTATTCATCTCGGAAGTTGGAACGCATTAAAAATTTGTTGTCTGCTATAATTGGTAACTAACATCCTAGAAGAAACTGTGTTTCAACTATTTAAAATTCTTGCCAGCACTAATTCACTTTTTAAACTTTCATTTATTTTTATTAAAGTGTATTGATTAAAAATTAGAAATTGAAAATGTTTGTAAGCTTATTTAAAATATTGGTGGGCAATTGGAAGAACAACGTAATTGTTTCAGGATAGTTTTCGAGAAAAGCGGGTTGACAACTATTATTTTTCCCTTACTAATGCTATCAAAGCTAAAATAGAATTTCAAATAACTTAAGGAAATTTGGTTATATTTTCCAATTTGTAGCGCTTTATGCGAAATTGCCAATTATGTAAAAATCTCGATTTTGAGTTTTGTTTTTCTTTTTGTTTCCGTTAATTTTTCTATTGCACGGCTGAATATGTTCTTTAAAGTTTCTCGTTTAATCACAATTACGCTTTTAATTCATCATTATTGTTATACAATCCAATTATTTGAAGATGATAATACGCATTTTTTTTGAACTTGTATTTATCATTGAATTTCTCAACAATGAACGTCATTTTTAAATAGAAATTAATTCAACGTCATTTTTAATGTACATTTCTTTAATACGCTTTTTATCGGAAAGAAATCTTTACTTAATAATATTACTTAATAATATTTAATCATTAAATCAAAATACATCATTATAGTGAGAAAAAATATGCATATTTTTAAATAATAAAACAGTCATAGTTTCCAAAAGGTCTAGGAGAACTTTCCTAAGTCTGTATTTTTTGGAAGAATTCTTTGTATTTAAGATTCTTTTAGTTTGCCACACATCCTATTTTCAAACATTTTACAAAAATAGAAATTTTACCTCGCAGCTGTATCCATAACCTGAATCAATTGCTTTACAAATCTATTTACAACCATTTCTTCATCATCATCATCGCATAATTCATATGCATCATCAAAAAATATGTGAACTAGAAAAGAAAGACTTCATATAATTTGATCCGACATTATTTATCTAAATTATCTTATAATTACGAATTATATAATAATTATGAATTACCTAATAATTATGAATTATCTAATAATTATGAATTATCTAATAATTATGAATTTTACAGTAATTGTCGAAAATTGCATTCAGGTATGACTAGCAGTAGCTGTTTTAATGTATTTTAATGATTCAGCAACCAACTTAATGAATTCGACAAGTTAGCTGTCAAATCTTTTAATTATGATTAAAATTTCACGTGACTAAAATTAATAATTAACGTACAGTTTATGGATCAATTCAAAAGCAGTATTCAACTATAATTACTAAAAACAAACAAAAAAACTAATTTCGTTTTATAAGAGTCGCTGTTCAATTTACACTTGAGCAGCCAGACCTACGATGACATCTCTGATACTGCTTTCTAAATATTTATGATACATAGTTTGTCTACGATAAGAACTCCCCCCGACGACACAAAGTTTGAGGCTGCTATGGAAACAAGAATAGCTCATTTCAGGGAGAGTAGCTTCTTTTTACTCTAGTGCTAACATAATAGACCAAAGAAAAAATTTCCCTTTCTCGCGCTAGCCGGAGCAAAACCTGTCTTAAACAATGACCCTACTTGAAATAGTTATACCTCGTTACCATTGTCACCACCACTGGTCCAGACGAATGGCTTCTTACTTTAGACAAACTATACTCTACCTTCCCTCCATATTTGCAAGTAGAGTATCCTATATACATTTTCATAATACAGGGTGTTTATGAAGTCCCAGACTCATTTTGATGCTTAATAACTTATAAAATAACGATACATTAAAATTAATAACATAAATGGTTAGACTCAAGAAGTTTCATGACCCTTGTCAATGAACTTCCACGTGTGCCCCCTTCGTCGCACGGAGAATATCAAGTCGATAGTCAATTTCACGCCAGGTAGCGTCAAGCATGTCGGCTTCCACAGAGGTTATTGTGGTTGTGATTCTGGCTTTTAGGTCATCAATGTTCGACACGATCCTCCTGTAAACATTGTCCTTTATAAATCCCCAAAGAAAAAAGTCCAGCAGCGTTATATCAGGTGATCTGGGTGACCAAGGAATCGGACCTTCTCGCCCAATCCATCTTCATCGAAGATGATCATTCAAAGAACTACGAACGATGATACCCCAATGAGGTGGTGCACCATCTTGTTGCAAAAAGACATGTGGCTGAAGCTCTTCTACACTCATGTTCATAAATTAAGGATAATGAAGTTTAGGCACAGAAAGAGACAGAAACCAAACAAATTTGACTTATTTGTAAAGTCTATGTATTAAACAAAAGGTAAAGAGCAAAAAAATGCTATATGTTTGACATAATTAATAGAAATTGCGATTTTTACTCCCTGGAGCAAATTTAAAAAAAGAACCTACTTACAAAAAACAGTATAACATGGTTAGTATGATGGTTAATACGGAGTATGTCTCCCGGACGATGCAATACAGGCCGTACAACTCCTAGGCATGCTGAGCATCAAATTATCAATCTGATCTCGGGGAATATTACACCACTCATCAAGCAATGCCCTCCGAAAGTCCGGTAGACAGGTGGGAGGAGGTTTATGGGCTGCAATTCGTCGGCCAAGCATATCCCACACATGGTCTATTGGATTCAAGTCCGGTGAGTATGCTGGCCAATCCATACGGGTGATACCCTCCGATTGAAGGCATTCGTCTACAATGTTTGCACGGTGAGGACGGGCGTTGTCCATAAACAGAAATTCAGCACCCATGGCGCCCCGAAGCAAACATACATGTTGTTCCAGAATGACATCCCTATAGATGTGGCCTGTCATCGTTACACTCTGAACATGCAGGTCAGTTCTGGAACCAAGAATAATTCCTCCCCAAACGAGCCATCCTGCACCACCGTAACGGTGTCGTTCAATGGTGTTGTCTTCGTGGTAACGAGTGCCTGGCGCTCTCCATATGAAAGTCCGGCGAGAATCAGACTGCGAACTAAACCTGGACTCGTCGGAAAACATCACACAAGATCACTGTTGCGGTGTTCACAATGCATGCTCTACTCCAGGCTAATCGCAGGCGACAGCGAGTTGCGGTAAGTGGAACATATCTGGCAGGCCTACGAGCATATAGACCAATGTGCCCTGAGCGTCTGCACACGGTCTGCCTTGAAACTGTCGTACTGGTAGCTGAAGAGAGCTGACGAGACAGGTCTGATGCTGTGCTCCGTCTGTTTCTTTTGGCAGTAACTGCCAAATACCGGTCTTCATTCGGCGTTGTAACTCGGGGGCGACCTGTGCTGTAACGTCTACTCACATTACCATCATCTTGGAAT